TTTCCATGCTTTAATATTGTCGGAGGTATTTTTAACCAACACCATCGAAAAGAGCATCGTTAAAAACATAGAAACACTGGTTATCGAATATTTTTTCGTCGCACTCATTACGTGGCAAGGGTTCAAATGGAAATGTGTTCTCTGAGCATTTATGGGTTAATGTGACGTGGTATAAACCATATGAATATCGTTTTCTATTACTTTTAAGACAATTACGACAAATATTAACAATTTAAGAAAAAAACTTTTCAAAAAAAAAATTTCGTAGACCTGTGTAATCGGTAATATCTACATTCTCCATCCATACAGTTGCAGAGTTTTTACCGCACTAGGCTATTATTCACGCACAGGGCCGGCTTCAGATTGTAAATTATTGTGATTCTTTTGCCCTTAACAACGCTGCTGAACTCATCGTGCGATTGTTTATTGCATCTAGTTTACCCCGTCCAAAGTTCGGCACTTATTTCTGTTACACCCTGTATTTTTGTATTTGATTATTCGCTTATGAAAATTCATTCAATTTCCAATATTGTAAATATGCATTAACGGAATATTTCTTTTAAGTGAAAGTACATTTCTGTATAGGTAAGACTTCATATATTTTCTGTTTTGCTATTCTACTAGAGAATCCTAAATCTCAAGCCTTAATTCAACGTGACATAGGTACCTATTTCCTTTTTAATTTCCACTACTTTCTTTTTAGTCGTTGTACTACTGCATACTACCACTACTACTACTACTTTTTGGTGCTTGATGTATGTAAAAAAATCGTTTGTATGAATCCCTGACATATTGTTGAAAATAACAACTAGTGCTACCTATTCTAGCGTTAAATCAGGACATTGTTCGAAAATGAAATGCTTCAAGCTAAAACGTGTGCGACTCTTTTCGGTTGTCGCGAAGCGTTGTTTCGCCATCAAGCCGGGCTGTCGCCGATCTGTCCCCGCAGTCCCCAGCGGTGGACGTCTAGCGAACCGAATCAATCGTACGTAAAAGCTTCTAGTTCTTCGCTGCGACAACTCAATATTTACAGAGTAAAACATTCAACGCCAGTCTTCTCTTTGAAAGCCGAAAGTATCGAATAAAATGAAGAATAAACTGGTGAACCGTAAAAATGCCAATAGATGCATGTTGAAGGTTTTCATTTTAAGGGCACCTTTTTACTGCCAACGTGGCGTCATGGTTACTAGACCGAAAAGTTGAAATCGAAAATTGTTAAGTTCTCTGCCAAGACAAAATGCAGTGTTTTCAATGAGCAACTTTGACGTTCATTGTTTTCCACGTTGGTCTTTGGTATTAACCAAAAAAATGCAACGTTGTTTAAATAGGTTCTTCCCTTAAGTATTCACAATCAGTTAAGATAATAAAGAGGAATAGTCTTAATGATAAAAGCTAAATTTGTTGATTTCTTGATTATTATTTATGTTTTGTTTCAGGATAAGTTTGGTGTCCCGTTCTTCAATGGGTGAGTTCAATATTTTTTTAATTAATTGTAAAATTTTATGTAACATATTACAATATATTGGAAACGAGGCATTGCAACACTTATCTAACAATATGGTAACAAAATATTCAAACATTTGCTGTCGTGCAAAACGACTGAAAGCACATCAAATCTTGCTTGTAGATACCTCACGATTTATGACCGTTCTTACTGTAAAATCAAATATAAAACTTCATGCATGAACAATTCTGTCAGAAACAGTAACTCATGGTAATTTTATAGTCGTTTTCTAATAAAAGAAGTACTTTACACGAGTGGACCTGGTGAGTAAACTAAAAATCAAAGAAACAAAACAGTGACTGCGATTTTTCTCATGCTTGTAGCGAAGATCTATTGCAATTTTCAATAACTGTAAAATATTCTTAAATCGAGTTTTGTAACTGTAATGCTATCGGCTTGTTTAATTGTTCAGGTTTCGTTCTTTGCGAGTAATTGCTTGTTTAGTCGACAGCAAATTATCTTCGTCCATTTGTAAAGGTTCCGAATCTTAAAGGGGTATAACATCATTCAAGTATCTCCCTGTCGTGTCAGTCACAATTAATTTTCTGAAAAAACGAAGATACGGTTGTTTATATTAATGAAGATTTATCTTATTATTTAGTTCTCCCGTACGGGAACTATTTTTTTCAGCGTTCTTGTATCTACTCTTAGACTACATACATAGGTATACCCGTCGGATCCTGGTCACGTATCTATTACGTATATGTGTTCGTGGACTATTCCTGATTATTTCCCGAAACTTCCCGGAAGTTCCTTTTGTCATATCAGTCTTATCAGCTGTATGATTTTTAACCTACATATGCCGGCTTTCAGATCATCAGAATTACTCCCGGTATCGATCGCCGGCGGCACTCTTTAACAAACGTATTTAATTGAATTTATTCAGGAATTAAAGTCGGTCACAGTATGCAGAAAAAAAGGTTTTTATACATTTTATATCATTTAAAAGGACTTCTTCATATGAAGAATATATGAATATGGTATATTTTTTTATTTTTAATTATCTTGGGCTTATTTCGAAATCTGATTTGAACTATTTAATTTTACTTAATTTTAAACAGTTTCTAAATATGTCAAAGAAACTCATAAGTCACCTACATGAACCAAACGGCAAGTATCCAACTACATCTTTATCTGTTTGTCACATGACTAATTGATTTTGTAAAGCGACCGTCTCTCCTCGTTTTCGATAAGCACGACTAATTAATTGAAAAGAGACCACTTAATCACGGTCACAACAACTTTGGGGCGCAAAGTGGCTCGATTTTCCCTGAGGGCGTAAGAACGAAATCCAGGCCTCTCTTTGAATGTCGCATCAAATTTTTCTTTTAGAGTAACTCGGTACTGCTGTAGGTAATGGGGTCAGTTGGGCAACTCAAGGTGATTGTAAATGTGTTTACTTCAGTTTTATTCTAGTTAAGTACTTTTATTTCTATGTATTTCCTTGCTTATCTTTTTAACGGCTCGTTCTACATTTTATCAGACCACAAAAAGGTTAAATAACGAAATTATTCTGAATTTGCTGATAATAAAGTATGCAACTACCTCATAAAATTCCACAACATAGGACACAAAGTTAGTCAGCAAGCTTTTTTTAATATTAATTGGATTATAAACGGAACGCAATAGTAGTAACCTTACCTAAAAAACGAAAAAGTACTGTATGAAAATAAATCGAAGTAAAACAAAAATACTGGTATGCAAGGGAAGTAGGGAAAGATAGGAGACGAAAAATTAGAAGAAGAGGCTGATTTTAGGTGTCTAGAAAATCAGACGGAAGAAATAGAAGGGATATACAGCAGAGGATAGTGCACAGTCGAGTCGCCTTCAATTTAAAGAAGTCAATTCTATGTTCACGAACGATTAATTTAGAAATTCGAAAAAGATTGTTAAAAGTATATGTTTGGAGCACGGCGCTGTACGGGTGAGAAACATGGACGATAGGCGCGATCGAAAAAAATAGATTAGAAGCGTTCGAAATGTGGTGTTACAGGCTAACGATGAGGATACCATGGATAGAGAAGGTTAGAAATGAAGAGGTATTAGAATGAATAGGAGAACGGAATACTATGGAAGTCAATAAGAAATAGGCGAGATAGGTTGGTAGGACACCTTCTCAGGCATGAAGGTCTAGTCAGAGACATATTAGAGGCAGAAACAGGAGTTAGGAAGGGTAGAGGTAGACCTAGATTAGATTACTGTTCGCAAATAGTTAAGGATGTGGAATGTTCTAGTTTTAGGAAAATGCAAAGATTAGCTCATGATAGGAAAGAGTGGAGGTGCGTGTCCAACCAGTCGACTGACGACCTTATCATGATGGAAGTAATTTTCCATAGATGATAATGATGTTCAGCCAGTTGCTTGATACTCTAATTATTGATAAATTCCATTGTGTTGCATGTTCCGTATTGAAACTTTTAATGACAGTTTTTGTAAAATCTTACGATGGAGTTTCTTGATCAAACCATGTACCATAAACAGTTGTATAAGAAAGGTCGACAGTGTGGCGCTTCGAAGTTCGGTTTCCTTGACTTTTTGATCTCATTTTTGTTTTTGGCGAGTTAACGGCGGCTGCTCAACTTGTATGCGATTCGATATGGCTCATCCGGCCCTTTTTTATTACACGGTCTCTGTGAAAGAGTTTTCTGGACTGTAAGCATATGGACGCAGTTCGAACGATCTTTGCTTTAAATTTTTTTTTTTGCAGGAGTTGTGAAACGACGCATTCGGGCGTTCTTATTGCTTCTGACAAAGCGTGGAATTTTCTTTTAGCTCTGCCTCGTTCGTCGAATATCTTCTTCGAAACGGCTATTTATTATTTTTGATTCCGTCAAGCAGAGTGTACGTATAAACCTGACGGGACGCGTAATAACAACTTTCTGAAACCAATGTTTTTTTTATGAGAGCCGGAATTTTAATGACAACCTCAAAAGCAGGTTCAGTAACTAGTATTATTTCAGTTTAATTCCAATATTTTTTTTTAGTCGTTGGAGAGATTTGCTTATCATTATTCAACCTATTTCATTTTATAGTATTTCCATAATTTCAAATGCATACAAGACAGTCAAATATCTCTTGTGCGAACAATAATAGGCCTATTTGGTCCTAATGGTCAGGTTCTGCGAAGATCTTTTTCATAGAATTTATTATCGATGCTCTTCTATTGTGTGCAGGTTTCAGGAATTTCATAGCTCGAAGCAGTCATACCTTGTTGGGTTTTTCCCCTTATTGGCTTCTGTAATAAAAGTAAAACAAAAATACTGGTATGCAAAGGAAAAAAATGTAGAGTAATTTAGAAACTCGAAAAAAAAATGTTAAAGGCGTACATATGTTTGGAGCGCGGCGCTGTACGGGTGCGAAACATGGACGGTGAGCGTAGCGGAAAAGAAAAGGTTAAAAGCATTCGTAGTGTGGTGTTACTGGCGAATGATGTGGATACCGTGGATAGAGAAGGTTAGAAATAAAGAGATATTAGAAAGAATAGGAGAACAGAGGACTCTATGGAAGTCAATAGAAAATAGGCGAGATAGGTTGGTAGGACACCTTCTCAGGCATGAAGGTCTAGTCAGAGACATATTAGAGGCAGAAACAGGAGTTAGGAGGGGTAGAGGTAGACCTAGATTAGATTACTGTTCGAAATACTTCAGGACGTAGGATGTTCCAGTTTTAGGGAAATGCGAAGATTAGCTCAGGATAGGAAAGAGTGGAGGTGCGTGTCCAGTCTTAGGACTGACGACCTTATGATGATGATGATCAAAAATCTATTTGGTCAAAAACATTCGCATACACTAACAAGCGGCGGGTAAAACCTAGCATTTTACATTCTTTTTACTTGAATCGTCTGTCTTTACGGAGTATAAAATTTTTAATGTAGAGTTTCGGGTTAGTTGATAGATATTCTCCACCAAGACTTGTTTACGTGTTGCTTTTTCCTCACGCGTTTTTCGTCTTTCAGAAATAATTTTAGGTAAGTGAAACTTCCCATAAATTTCACGTGGTGGCGTCGCATTTTAAAGCGACCGGTCTTTGTTTCGGTTTTTGTTTTCCGACGGGGGTAACTTATCACTCATTACGCCATTAATCTCGGAGGAATCAAGCCGTAAGTAACAAGAATTAATGGTCGAGGGCTACCTGATCGTGTGGGAGTCCCGGACAGACGCACCAAGTCATCATGAAATGTATACACACTATATGTATATATGCGTACAATTGCGGTGTATATTATGTGTGCGGACAGGGCAGTTTGGACGAAACACACCCTCGACAAAGGGGTCTGTTTACGACTACCATAAAGAGTGTGCTTCCATTAGTGATACGCAAAATTATCGCTTTATTTCAGCGCTGGTGCATCCCATTAGGTTCAAAACCGAAACAAATACAATTAAAATAAATTATTAACCAACTTATTAAAATTATCTAAATTAAATGCTAGTCTCATACTGGATAATATATAATACTTCTAATTGCAATTGTCCTGAATTAAAAATACTGATGGAGATGGCTTTAGTATAGAAAAGATTAAAAATGAAAAGATATTGGAAAAAGTAGGATGACAGAGGACCCATGGAGGTCAATGACGAAAGAGAGAAATATAATATGAACGGAGCATCATCATCATCATCATTATAAGGTCGTCAGTCCTAAGACTGGTTGGACACGTACCTCCAGTGTTTCCTATCCTGAGCTAAGCTTCGCGTTTTCCTAAAACTAGAACAACCTACATCATTAATCATTTGCGAACAGTAATCTAATCTACGTCTACCTCTACCCCTTCTAACTTCCGTTTCTGCCTCTAATATGTTTCTGACTAGATCTTCTTCTAGAGAAGGTGTCCTACTAACCTATCTCGCCTATTTCTTACTGACTTCCATACAGTCCTCTGTTCTACTACTCTTTCTAATACCTCTTCATATCTAACCTTCTCTATCCACGGTATCCTCATCATTCGCCTGTAACACCAC